GTGGCTGAAGTCAATTACAAAAACATGACTCAGTAGTAATATGTCTAAACTGGGGCCAGCAGTTCTGGAGTTGTAATCATTCCTGATCTCAGATTCTGGTAAATTCAGTTTCTTTCCATTCCTTGAATATACACAATAGGTTGGGGACTGTTTCTAGAGTCATTGCTGTCTGGAATGGTGTCTAGTGTGCATATATGCAATTTAATATGTTTTGATTAATTGGCTGATAACACAGTATTGTAAAGTATATATGATAAGTAAGACTAGAACTTATCTAGAAACCCCATCCGAAAGCTACTGCAATTTGGACCCCAGTGTATTCAATGTACTACAGAACCATCTCACCCTACTTTATCAGTTTAGGGTTCCGTACAAATCAATAATTCTAGTTTCTCTCTAATATATTAATTACATAGGCATCCTTGCTTTTCTTGCCCTTTATGTTCAACACCTTTCAAAGATGATATGGTAAAGGATTTATAAGATTTGCTAACCTCAGCTGGGATCAAACATTTTCTTTCTCTCCTGAAACAAGGCTGAGGATACAGCAGGTCTCCGAGTACTGGCCACAGTTGTGCTGTGTTCACACAGATGCAGTGCAAGAGAAGCAGCTGGCTGGCAGCCTTTTATAAACCTTATTGAATGCTGTTGGTCTCCCTGTAAAATGCAGGATGTGAAAAGACTCACAATCTAACCATGAGATTTGATTCTGCACAACTTGTCTATCGGTCTATGTCATCCTCCATTATTTTTTCCTATGGGAAGGCTAGAGCCACTTTTGTCCTCATGCAAATCCATGCCTGGATGACCCATACTGGGATTAGTTCAAAACTGCGTTATGCTTTAAATTTGTGCCTTGGGGATTTGAGATAGGACTGCTGGGGAAGGAGCAGCTGAGAGAGCAGGTTGGGAAGCCAAACTAAACCACTGCCTTTCAGCAAGGTTGTAACCCTGGCAAAGTAAAGGAAGCTTTGCTATATGCTGGGAAGGGAAGGGAAGGGAAGGGAAGGGAAGGGAAGGGAAGGGAAGGGAAGGGAAGGGAAGGGAAGGGAAGGGAAGGGAAGGGAAGGGAAGGGAAGGGAAGGGAAGGGAAGGGAAGGGAAGGGAAGGGAAGGGAAGGGAAGGGAAGGGAAGGGAAGGGAAGGGAAGGGAAGGGAAGGGAAGGGAAGGGAAGGGAAGGGAAGGGAAGGGAAGGGAAGGGAAGGGAAGGGAAGGGAAGGGAAAGGTCATAATCATAAAGATATGACATACTATGTTAATATCTTGTTTGTTAACTCTGAGACGAGTTGTAATTGTAAACGCTCCGCAATTTGCATATATAGCATATTAACAGGGTATGCTTTGAAATCAAGAACTATAAGATTACCCTGTAAGTCCCATCAGAAGCATTTTAATACAAAAGCTGTAATCACAGAAGTACTGGCTTTAAACTGCCGAATTCCCTAAGGGAAGCTTTATAATGCAAAGGAGCGTAATCATGTTTGGTTTTCTTTACTGCTGACTCTGCACAGATATCTGAAAAAAATCACTATTAATCTAAGTCAGACAACATAAGCCTTAAATGAAAATGTAAAACAATATCTTACAATGGTGTTCACGTTGATTGCAGGTTCTCATTTACAAGGGGAAAAAAAGCTCTATTAGGCTGTCCTTTTTCCCTACTGTTTTTTCTGCATAGGCTATGCAGCATTTACCTGCTAAAAATAAATCATGTTTTTAAAGTCAGAACTTTGTTTATCTCAAGGAAAACTTGATTATCTTTTAGGAGAACAAATAAGCATGAGATGTTGGATTTGGTTCTGTCTTACAAGACTTATAAACTCTGATTGCTTGTAGCTTAGAAACGTCTGTCCCAGAAGAGTAAATATTTAATTGTTCTGAAAATGCTCAGGCTTCAGAGAGATTCATTGATATGCATGACGTTTTGATATAGAATTTCAGACTTATTTCTGATTTACAAGAGGATTTGGAAAAACACATGAGTAATTGTTCCTGAAGAGTTGTTGCTAAATTTGGAGCAGATGCAGTGGAAATCAGGTTGTTCTGGGTAGTGTTAACAAAAAAAGATACTGAAGTTATGTGTCTGTTCAGAGTTTAGCATGTATTCTGGGTTGCAAAGGACAAAGGGGAGACTGGGACCATGTGAATAAGTGGTCTATATATTCAAGGTTACATATTATTCACATCAAAGGTACTGAAAAATTGCCATTGCTTTCCTTGAGTCTTTGATGGGCTTTGAGCATACACCTAGCCTTGTTGCCCTCTGTTCCATTGGACATCATTATGAAAACAATACTTGATTTTGCTATGGAAATGCTGATGCTCCCAGGAAGCTGGTGAATGTGGTACAAGCAAATCTTTGTTCAGAGCAAACGCAATGTAGCAATGAATACACTGGATTGCCTTCAGAATAGCAAACCCAGAAATTCTTGTCAGACTATCATTTTCTGGTGTATTTATATAGAAAATGACTGTGAAGGATAATCTCTGTCACTATTCAGGTGCAAGAGTTATAAAGGAATATAATGTTATCAATTAACAAGTCACAAATGAATGGCTCATCAATACTTTATTAATGTATGTTAATTTTTCACATCTCACATTAACACAGCATGCTGTTTGTCTTAACCTCCTAGCTATGCTGATGTTTAAACATAAGCCAGGAGTTTTCACAAACCAAGAACAAATGAATTTCAAAGCTGTGTTAATCCATATAAGAGTCAAAAAGACACATCAATCCAGTAGCACTGACTAATTAATGAAGAAAACTCATTGCTCTGTAAATTGTTAGATCTGGTTTGGTTCATAGTGGGCCTTGTCTTATGAAATCATGAAAGACATCTCAGAAGACTTGTTAGTTTTTTAGTCTATATGGAGGCAGTCAGATGTAAAAAAGAAATAGAGTAACTCTTGGAGACACTTTTTAGTAATTTTTAATGAATTTATATTTTCTGCATGCAAAGGAATCCCAAACTGCTGCTGCTCATCCCATGTCTGTATTCTGTGGTTGTGTTCTTGTGTGAACAGTGACCAGCCTGGGGGTTTACTGGCAAACTCATTCCTCTTTTCATTGTTTGGAAGGTCACTTTAAAATATTTTCATGTGAATTGAAGCAATTACATTAACATGAGGTAAGCCCTTAACTCAGGTAGATAATTCTTATTGGCTGAAATGTGTTAAACTGTAAGTGCAGTCCTTCTTTGCTAATGCAAAAGGAAATGAAATTATGTAAAGTACCATGTTTGCCAGTTAATCCAGAAAAGAATTGAAAGGCAATGATTTCTACATGTTACTGCTGTCTTCTGACTGAATGAACATAATCTCAGTAACATGATACTGTTTCTGCTTTTGACTGGATGACTAAATCTTTGAATGGGTGAGTAATAAACAAAAGAATAACAACGAGCAAGTGGTGCTTTCCAGATTACATTTTAGATTCATAGTCACGGGTCAACATTTTGAAAGCTTCCCTATTTTGCAAAGGCTTTCACATGTAAATAGTGGCAAACCAAATAATTTAAGGAAGGGATATCAGCGTGTGATACAATCTGTCCATGTCTACTGATGGAAAAATATCACTGTGTCTAAATTTATCAGCTCTCTGGGTTTGTAGGTGCTGCCCAGGTGCTCTGAGCTCTTGGCCACACATCATAGGTTCTTACTCACTGCATTCAATTCTAATCAACCTCTCTTTGAAAGATTATAGCAGGGCTATATTGGGTTCAAAGCCAGGTAATGATAAAAGTAAGGCAGGTAAAAATTGTAAGCAAAGAGGCTGAAAGTTCTCCCACTTTAAACAGCTATACTGAAGGAGATACAGGAGATTATTAGAGTCTTTTGGCCTGTGTATATGAATATACATATACCCTGGCTTCAGCTTCCCATTCTGTCTATCTCTGCTGCTCTTCTAACGGTGGAGAAACCAAAAATGCAACTTCCATCTGATTTTTCATCTGTGGGCTTCTCCTACAGGAACTGCACAGACTTTGAATTGGATGCAATGATAATGTAGACACATTCTTTCTTAACCTATTTCCCTTTGGAGGACGTTTCACAAGTCATTGGTTCTACTTCACCTCGAAAGTTGCTAACAGTAGTGTTTTTGGAAGGGGGTGAGACAAATATTCTGTTTATAAATATCAATATAAACTCTAGAAAGACCTCACTACTCTCTATACAGCAAGTGATTCATGTTGTACCTTAACATTTCTGGTAGTTTTCCCAAATGCTCTTTTACAGCGGAGTCATTTCAAGATACACATGTTGACATTAATTAATTAATTAATTAAGTAAGTAAGTAAATAAATAAATAAATACACGCACACATATATATTTTCTGCCCATCCAGAATGACAATCCCAAAGCTGCCCCCTCTCCTCCGCCGGGGGGGACATATCCCCGTCCCGCCGGCAGGTGGCGCTGTGGGGCCTGGAGCCCCGTTTGCCCCGCCCCTCACCGTTTTGCCCCGCCCCCCCCCCCCCGCGACACCCCCCGCCCCCGTCCCGGAGCCTGTCTGCCCGCGCTCGGGGGTCCCCCGCGGGAAGGCAAGGGGGGGGGGGGGGCGGGCAATTTCTCTCATTTTCTTTCTTTTCCCCTTTCTTAACTCAGAGAAGTTCGGTCAACTGGCGAACCCCCAGGTCGGGAGGCAAAAAAAACCCCAAAACCATCTTGACCCAAGGCAGCGCTTACCCCGCCCCGCCTCCCACCCGCCCCGGGTCCCGGGAGCCCTCCGCTGCCGGGGCCGGCCCGCCCCGCCGGGGGCCCGAGCAGCTGCGTGCGGGGCGGCGGGCAGCGGCGGTCGCGGGGGCTCCGCGCTCCCCAGCGGAGGTCTGGGAGGAGGAAAAGCGGAGGGAGGATCCGCGAGGATCCAGGTAGATCCAGCTTTTACCGCTTACCAAAAGGCACCAGCAGCAGGACCTCCGCCTCCTCCCTCCCTTCCTCCCACCCTCCTTCCCTCCCTCCCGCCCTCCTAACTCCCTCCCTCCCCTGCCCCTCCGCGAGGAGAGACGGGCCAAGTCGGGTCGCGCCAGCCAGCCGCGATCTCTGCTAGGGGCAGACGGATCGCTTTCATGTCGCAGGGTGACTGCTAGCCCCGCGGAGGCTCCCCCGGCCGGGCCGGGCCGGGGCCGGGGCTGGGGCTGGGGAGGCGGCGGCGGGCGGGCGGGCAGCTGCCCCGGCGCCGGGGTGCCTGCCGGCGCGCCCCGCGGAATGCTGGCGGCGGGGGATGCGGAGCCGCCCGCGGACTAAGATGGGGGGCGGCCACTCCCACAGGGCGCCCGTCTTCGACGAGAACGAGGACGGTGAGTGCGGAGCTGTCCGCGGTACCGCCCGCGCCGCGCCCCGGGGCCGCAGGGCAGCGCCTCTGCCCCGGCCCGGCGGCCCCGGCCCGGCCGCGCCCCCCCCGGGAGCCACCGCCGGCCGCTGCCCGCCGCGGGGTGAGCCGCCCGCCGGCGGCGGGGGCGGAGGAGGAGGAGGAGGAGGGAGGGAGGGAGGGAGGGAGGGAGGGAGAGCCCCGCTTTGTTCAGCCGCGCACACCGCTCGCGTGGGTATTTGCTTTGAGCTGGGCATCGTTCCGAAGCCTCGCACGCCGTCGCTCGGGGTTTAAGCACATGGCAGGTAACTTTGTGCAGGCGTTTAAGAACGGGCATCGTTTCGGAGGCGGATGCCCGCTTTTTCTTCGCTGTTTTCATTTGTAGCTGTCTCTTCGCCCACTGCCCATTTTAAATGATGATGTCTCGCTCAGTCAATACACTTCTTCTATCATCTTTACAGTCCGAAACTTTTTTTTTAGCTTGTTCTAGCACTCAGGTTTTTCTCCCTGCCTAGATAATACCTCATAAGAAAGTGTATCTTGTAAAGTTTTTGGAATGCAATGGAAAAGTTTGCATAAAATACGGTGTTTCTTCACTAGTTATGCATTGCCATGCCATTTTCGGATGTAGACCGTATTTAACTGGAATTATGTGAATGAATTTCAATTACAATCATTTTGGCTTTTGGAGCACAGAGAACACTGCACCCTTGGGAAGCAGATATTTGTATGCTATCACTAGAAATGTTTTTAATGTTACTTAAGGGGTAGATATTGTTGCCTATCTGGACAATGGGAGTTTAACTTTGAGTATATTCATCTTCCGGAAGTTCCCAATGTGTTTTATTAGGGGGTCATTGTGCCTCAATTGACTATCACATTGTTTTGCATTTCTGAGGTTCATAACAAATCAAAACCATGTATGCTCTTTCATACATGCTCAGGACATGTGGAGATATTTGTATTGTTTTGCGAATAGGGAGGAAATACATTAAATGCATGTGAAGTGCTTTAAAATGGTGAATACACATTTACTTGCATTTAAGATACAATTATCGTTCCCTATTCCTTCAAAAAGCTTGAAGAGGTATTTGATGAGGTTTGTGTGGAGAATGGGACAGATTATTTACTATTTATGTATTGTGGTGCAATAGCTGTGATTTTCTTATACTGATACAAATTTTCAGTCATTTACCATTGGTCACGCTATGTAAACAAGTGGGAGAGAAAGAACCTCCCACACCTTTCCTCCAGGTAAAATCTTGATCATCAGCAATTAATCTTGCAAACCTTTAGGTAACTCACCAAGAATTACCCAAGAGTGAAAGCATAGTGTTAATCTTGTCTAGACACCTTAAGGTAAAAAAATAGCCATGCCTTTGCCTTTGTAGGTCTTCTGATTGGGCTTTCTTGAGTTAGCAGTTTCCATGAATTGTTATTCAGTTTATTTTTCCATGAGACAAGGCTGTGGGCAGTTTTTGAACAAAATGAACAAAGTTCAATAGTAAATTACTGCAGAGAAGACTTCATGCCACTTAGTTCTTTTTCCCTCAGGAAAACATTTTGGTAATGCAGCCATTATTAATACCTAATAAAAAAAAAATCCATAAAGTATTTATGGATTTCTATTATGTCATTATTTATCCTTTCCCTCTTTTTTTTTGTTTTGTTCTGGTTTTTTTTTGTTTGTTTAGTTGGTTGGTTGCTTGGTTGTTTTTCTTCCCATTATGAATATTCCTATCATCACTGCTTTTTTTGCTCTTAAGGTATGCTTGGTACAACCATCTGGTTCAGAAGAGTCCATTGCTTTTGAAACAATAACCTGTTTCCTATACTACTTATAAATTATTATTAGGATGGCATTTTCCCAATTACCTAAATAAATATAGGAAAACAATCTCCTGTTTGAAAATGTGTCTTACAAGGTTTAGTCCAAAATCAAGCTGTATTTCATATTCCCACTAGTAGCTACACAAGTCACTATTTTCCACAATGTTTGACTCAATATGAAAAAAAAAAAATAGGCAAGCAAAAGCAAAAGAGAAGATTTGTTTCTTGAGATGGTATAATTTTGCTAAAGAATGACAATGCTTATCAATTCAAAGAGAACTGGAATAAATGAGTTGTATATGAATATGTAGGCATAGTAGAAACTAAGCTATTTAGTGTATTGTGTGTAATGCCACAGCTGCCTTATAAAATGAGAAAAATGAGCTGCAAAAAGTATTGCCATTTTATGTTTGTACATGTTAATGATAGATGTAGAATAAAACATGAATTTTGGAAAAAGAGGTTTAAACCCATTTATTGTCACTTTGTAAATCATAGAAACAAGTTACTCAGTATACCACTTAACAAAGAAATACACGGAAATAGCACCTGAAGAGCACCCAGGTACTGCCTGACTTTCTGTCTAATAAGAATAGGTGTTAGTCCATTGAGTAGATCTAAAAACTGTAGGTTGTATGTAGACTCCCCACCATGCTTAGGATAATAAAACATGATCCATCCAGAAGGCTGGACTGCGTGCTGTAAATCCCCAATTATCACAGACAACATAACACATCATTATCATACACTGATCTTTTTAAAGGCCATAATACATACCATTTTAAAACTAGCTATATTTGTTCTCTATGTTCTATTTTTGTTAGAAGGATCTTACAGAACTTCACTCTTTGAACGGTTAGAAACATCTGTTTTCCTGATACTCAACCTATTTATAAGATTTATGTTTATTTCAACTTTTTTGTTAGCTTAAACAGCTCTCCTCCCTCCATGATTACTCCAGTGCTTTGCTAGACAGTAAAAATGTTCCCTCACTCTTTGTTTTGTAAGATATCCTCTTCCAGTTTTCTCTTATTTCCACTGTTTTTTCATCCCCTGTGACCTCCACCTGCATGCATTTGAACTTGTTTTGGTTGCACACAGATAACCCAAATTATACACAGAATTGCAAGTGAGTTTTCACCAAGACCTTGTGCTGGAAACAATACATCCTGATCTCTACTGGAAATAACTTTCCTGGTACAGCCTGTTACTACATATTCCCTTCTCATGGACATATGTAGATAGTTTAGTCACTCTGTGATCAGTTAGCCCACCACTGCCCTGTTCAGTAATTTCCACTGATGAGCTCCAATCTACAGCAGAAATTTTTGATGTTCCTACGTGCATAACCTTGCATTTTGCATGATTGAATTTTGGTCCATTTCTATTATTCGTATTCTCAAAGATGATCACCCATGTCTTTCCTTGTGATGCTCTGATTCTCCATCACTTTACCAGTGTTTTGTATTATCACCACTCTCCTCAGGTCCATGCCAGTTATCAAGTCCACTGAATGTTTCATGCAAGTGTGCAGCTGGATTATTTCCAGACTTCATCTCCTTTGCTGTTAACCCCCATCAGCCTCATAATTCCCATTTCAAAATAACATTTTTCGTTGTGTTACCCACCTTCCATTTTGCCGGCTAATTCCCACCTTGTTCAGTTTTGCTCATACTTTCTTATATATCACTTCACTGAAATTGAGAACAATGAAATCTAAGCCAACTCTACCATCTAAAAAATAAGTTTCTTGCCAAGGAAAAGTATCTGGTTACTCTTGCACAAACAATTAATAGTAAATCCATGCTGTATTTATCTAAGTTTCCCTCTTAGCCTAGGTTAAAGCACAACAAGAGCTAGAAAAATCCAGTGAACATAATTCTTTGTTTGCTTAGAGTTTATACTCTAGCTAAAGAAGATCAATGGAAAAACATGTTTCATTTCTTGATTTTTATTGCTGTATAAGTTGGATAGACAACTAGGTCTGGTGTAGTAGCATCTCTACCTCTAATGAAAGCTAGATATTTTAATGGGTTGGAACAGTAACATTTTTTTCAAACATTTAGAAAGTGTTTTCAAGCTAGATACTACACTAATTGTGTAGTCAATTCAGCACTCAGGTAAAATGAAAACAGTTTAATTTTAGTTAATATTGCTGAAGCATAGGAACGTTGACTCTCTGTACCTTGAATATTTCCTAGTCTCGTAACAACTCTCCTCTCCTGAATATGTGTATCCAGTACTAATAGCAGGAGTGCAAAAGAATACATCTTTCCTCGTTCATCTTTTCAGAAACAGCAATAAATTCACAAGAATGGCAATAGAAAGGCAAGAGGAATATTCATCATTGGTAAATGTTATGTGCAAATTCTCAGTAAATATCATAAGTAGCAAATATGTTAGCAATAGTTTGGTGACTGTAAAGAGTATCTTTGTTGCTGGATTTGTTTGACTATGTTCTGTTAAAAGTTCAATGATATTTAACAGGTGAAAGTGAAATAGAAGAAAAGGGTAATTTATAAAGGAGCTGACTCAGTAGAGATATTACTAGTACCAAATAGCAATAACGTATTTGCCTGTATTGTGGTAGAAGATAAAGAGGAAAGGGTAAGAAACAAAAGTGTCAGAGGCTAGAAGTTGGTCCTGTGAAGTGATATGGCAGTTGTATCTGATTATTTGGGGCTTAAAAAGTCAGTTTTGCTACAGTTACTTTTAGAAACAAGTTCACCGAACTTTTAAAGAGCTTGTTTTTATTTTTACAGTACACGACTTTACATTTAAAGCAAATATGTATTTCCAAGACACTTTTCAGTGAGCATCCTGAAGCTATAGAGCTTGATTACTCCTTTGCGGAGGTCAGTGTGACATGCTGTGCCTGTAGTCTTGTGTGAGGGAAATGAGGCATAGCAACATGCCTTGGCTGATTTTTACATGGCCTGTCCCTGATTCACTGTAGTGCTGATGGATCTACTTAATCTACTATGCTGAAGTCCCACAGCTTCGCCTGAGTCATAAGGCTTCATTCTGCTGCGGTGTCATAACTACAGAGCTCAATGGAAATCTTATGTACTAGAGAATGCACTATCTATCCTCTGGAGTTAAACTTTAAATTCTAAGTTGTAATTTAAAATTGATTTCTACCTCTCCTCTTTAGAAAAG